TTTTTAAAAGTCAAGCGTGCCAGGGGCCCATGTTGGGACTACAGCGTTGCGTCAGCATATGCAGCGTCGCCATTCGTGGCCTGGGAAAACCGTGATAAAATACCGGTTCTGCCTGCCCCCAGCCCAGGGTTCCATTTTGTTGTCATAGGGTGCTGGCAGATTACCCCTGGCCCCTCCCCCATAGGTGCTGCCACTGGCCCCAAATCTGCCATGGACCCCCGTACCGCCTGGTCACGCTGCTGCTGGGCCACAGTGTGACCTGGGTCCCTGTACCGCCTCCCATTGCTCCCACTCTGCCATGTGCCACTTTCAGGTCTCCTCACACTGCTGCTGGTTTCCATTTTGTCATAGGTTGCTGTATGGCCTCCCATTGCTGCTGCCTCCACCGCCACACTGTGGCTCCAAACACTGGTTTTGGCCCCGTGACTGGCCAAATGAGTGAAGTGTGCGGTGATTCTAAGATCGACGGCACTCATCTGCATGTCATACTGAGTGACAGTATTATTTTCTCTTCCCCAGCAGACTCCAAGGGCATTTAAATTAAAGGTACAGTGTTTCTGCACTAATATTAAGTCTCTCTGAAGCCTAGAAACACCCTTTTTTAAGTTAAATTCACAGCAAATTTATTCGACTCGAATCGAATATTGTCCACGAATTCGCCGAATCAGTCGAATCGAATTTTTCATTTCTTCGCTCATCTCTATTTATGACACTTACATTTCTCTGGCCTCAACTGCATACTGTATTATATGGATCCAGAATTTCGCTATAATTACCAGCTCTCCCCGGCTCTTAGTCTCAACCAGGGGTGGACTGACCATTGGGGTACTTGGGCACTGCCCGAGGGTCTGGGGTCAGTAGGGGGCCCCATGAGGTGCCCCTGGCACCTTTCATAATCTTTTTTGGGTGTGGTGGGTTTGAGTGTGTGCGAGGACACCATGATCCCCTATTACCCGGGGGCCCCATGAGTTGTCAGTCCCGCCCCTGGTCTCAACCAGTAAAGTTAGATAGCAACTACTCTTGGCCAGTTGATTGGGTCACCCAGGAAGATGTACCCCACACACATCACGCTCAGTTCTGATTGCCCTAAAGAGGTTTTCAAAGTCTTGTTTGATAATGACAATCTGTTGCCTTTGGCTTTTAGAGGTGGTATTTTTCCTGATTGCATAATCCTTAGTAAAAATATAACTTTTTCTATCTTTTTCAGAGCCCTTTAAATGTATCCTGTACACATTAACCACTATCAGATTAGCATTCTTGAAACCATTTGGTTCTTCAAAATTATTATTCCAGTCTCCAGCTGCAGCTGCTAATTTACATTTATGTAATTCCCCCTTATCCAGGTGCCTATGCCTTATTATGTATTTTCATATCAAGTTTAGTTTGGATGAACATTTTCACTTCAGTGTTTTAGATCCAACCCCTGCAGCTGATACCACATGGCTAAAGGTTTTCTTTTAAACACTCCAACTGGCAAAACGTGACTCACTGGCCAGAACAGCTTTGCCTCAGCAGGGAGGAAACAAGCTGCTGTGAATATGAAACATATAAGATAAATTATTTTACTTTGTGTGCAAGCTACTGAAAAAGCAAACTTGGGTAGAAAGAGAAAGTTCAACTCTACTTGCTAGAGAACATTGATATTACTGTCACATTAGTTGGGTAATTGCTTTAGAATAAGTGTCATAAGGTCATTCTCCCCAGTGGAATTTTCTTATATGTATATATCATATCAATTAACTCAAAATTATTTAATGTGATTCTAAAGCCTGAAAGTTTTTTTTTTTCAACTTAATGCATTCTCTGCATTAAAGGAGAAGTAGGGCCAAAGCTTTTTTGGCCCTACTTCTCCTATGGATCACAGGAGTGCAGCCTGCTGTTGGCTGGTGTCACTCAGCCAGTCCAGGCTCTGAATCGATCCTGAATTAACATTCAAGATCCACCCAGATGCCTGGACTGGCAGGTGCCTCAGCCTCTCAGTGAGCCACTGAGATCCTAAACAGCCGCTTCCACTGTCTCCACAGCCCGGTGCTCCAGTGAGCACTGGAGAGGCAAAGCAGAAGGCAGATGACTGACAATCACCAGCTCTCTGCTCACTGAAGACTAAGAGCCGTGCGATCAGCAATCTTTGATTGCTCAGTTCTCAGTCCTAGAAGCAGCAGGGGACAGATACAACATTGGACTGATGCTGCATCCACTTGAGCAAGTATATATATATATATATATATATATATATATATATATATACACACAAGGTGATATCAAAAATTTTCCAGACTAGTTTTGTAACACGCCAACAGATGGCAGCACAAGTCTGTACGTACAGACGCAGGGAGCACTGACCTTCATAAGTCAACATGCCAAAAGACATCGTCCTTTTCACATTGGGAGTTGTGCAAGTGGTGCTATTCTGACCACGTGCATTACCACATCTGATATTTTATCATGGACAGCAAGTTAGAACAAAGAGCAAACTTGAAATTCTGCGTGAAACTGGGCAAATCTGTCACGGAGATGTTTGACATTATTCATCAAGTTAATGGCGATGCTGCAATGAGTGTTTTGAGTGGCATGCGTGCTTTAAGAGTGGAAGAACATCACTGGAAGACGACAAGAGATCAGGAAAAACCTTGAACAGCTCAAACCCTGGAAATACCCTCTTCATGAAGATGAAGATCCAGCTCAAAGGTCGTCGTTTTGACAAAATGGCGGAGATCCAGCGATTTGCCCAGTTTCATTCAGGATTTGACCTTTGTTCTAAGTTTCTGTCCATGATGAAACAGCAAGGTAATGCATGTGGTCAGAATAGCACCAGTTGCACTGCTCCCGATCCACACAGGACAATGTCTTTCGGCACACTTACTTATGAAGTATGAAGGTCGGTGCTCCCTGGGACTGTGTGTGCAGCCTTGTGCTGTCATCTGTTGGTGCGTTACAAAATTAGTCTCAAAACTTTTTTTATATACCACTATATATATATATATATATATATATACACTATATTGCCAAACATATTGGGGTATCCCCTTACAAAAAATTACCCAAAACCATGATATTTCACCTACAGATAGCAATGAAGGTAATATTTGTACTGTATAATAGTGGAACATAATGTAAATGCATTAACATACAGAAAAATGTGAATGAGCCTTAAAGAAAATGAAGAAAATTAAAAGTAAGTGTAAGATGTAAGATGATGACAAATAGATAAGTAGAGAATATCTTCAGTGAAAATATCACATCAAAATAATTAGTAACTGGACAAAAACATACAACAAGAGTATTATGGAAGCCATATATAGCTCTTGCCCACAATAAAGATAAAAAGGAAAAGAGATATATATGGCTTCCATAATACCCATGTTGTTCTTTTGAATTTGAATAGATTTCATTTACTTTTTTTTTTTCTTTTTTCTTTAGTGTTTGTGTTTATTTTTAGATTATTTAGCGCTTTGAAACCTTGATGTTATGTAGAATGGTGTGCTTCTCACCAATATTCACTTCCATCTGCTGTGTAACATACCACATAAGAAATCAAGGTAAAATGAGACACTTACAGTATTAAACCATTAGCCGCCCAGCCTATAGTCGTTTGGTGGCCGCAAAAATGCTTTAGCTTTCCGGGGTGTACGCCATTTGGCGTCCTCCAGCACATGCGCAGTTCGCGCGGTTGCAGAGCCGTGCAGCGGCGCGATCTGTCACCGGCCGTGTACCTCGGACACGGCCAATGACAGATCTGAGTATCGGCCCCCGTTGCCGGTACCATGTGACCTGCTGTGACCAATCACAGCAGGTCACATGACAGTTGTATACAATGGATGGCTTCATTCATGCCATACATTGTATACTAAAAAAAAAAAAAAAAAAAAAAAAAAAAAACCTGAATGAATTGATGTCATTCAGGTAAATGCTTGCTTAAAGCAAAGTAATTCTTTGCTATAAGCAAATTGTGTAAAAAAAAAAAAAAAAAAAAAAAAAAAACTGATCACTTCCCCAAAGTAGTACAATGTTACTATGGTAACATTGTACTACTTTGGTCATAGTAAAATATGAAAAAAAATCTTAAAAATGTTTTTAAAAAAATGTAATAAAAAATTAAAAAAATAAAAAAATAAAAAAAAATTAAAAATATATAGATTTTTTTTTTTTCATGCTGTCACCAGTCAGTGTCCCTGTTCACCGCCATGCCAGTTATATGATGATGCTGTACTGCACTGGTGACAGTATGTAAAAAAACAAATGAACAAGTGAAAATAATTTTTTTAATTTTTTCATTTTCCGAAAAATTATGACAAAAAAAAATACAACTTCAAAAAACTCGCCATTACTCTTATGAAGTACGTTGGACTGTCTACTCTGCAAAAAGGGGTCATTTGGGGGATATCTGTACTATTCTGACATTCTTGGACCTCAAGAAATTAGATTGGCTGTCAGTACTTCAGGATTGATCAATATTCAGATCTATACCATAGTTTGTGAACTCTATAACTTTCCTACAAACTAAAAAATACATCCTAATTTGGGTTATTTTCACCAAAGAAATGTAGCAGAATACATCTCGGCCAAAATTTATGAAGAACAATTATTTATTTGTAAACTTTTATAACAGAAACAAAGAAAAACGTGTTTTCTTTTCAAACTTTTTGGTGTTTTTTTTGTTAATTTAGCAAAAATTAAAAACCCCCCGCGATGATTAAATACCACCAAAAGAAAGTTCTAGTTGTGTGAAGAAAATGATAAAATTTTAGTTTGGGTACAATGTTGTATGACCGCGCAGTTGTCATTCAAAGTGTGAGAGCGCTGAAACGTGAAAAATGGCCTGGGCAGGAAGGGGGTAAAAGTGCCCGGTATGGAAACGGTTAATTGGGATTGTATATAGATATTTTTTAATTATATATAATGATATTTTTTTTTGCATTGTTGCATCTTTTCATCTTTTGTTGCATCATTCCTATTAGATCCTATATATTCCCTGAAGGATTATAGCTATCCCTTGTGCTATCTGTGGATGTTTGGAGAAAGTGTGCCCCCCTGGGGACATCTAACCACACTTTGCTTTTGAACTTTTGTACAAAGTATACTGCTGAGAATTGGAGGTATCTATGATATGTTACTCCCCCTTAATTATTGTAACTTGTGTCCCACTGCACTGGTTTTTCTGTATGTTTTTTTGTTGTTTGTATTTATTTCAGGCTTAATTTCAGAGAAATAATTGATAACGCTCTGAGGAAGACTCACGAGTTGAAACTCTCTGGCGTATATTGAAGCAATGTATGTACATGACCTCCATATTGTATACACTGCAATGTAACATTTTTTCTCCTGTATGTTTTCAATATAATATGTACTATATATGTTGTGGTATGTTAGCCTTTGGAGGCTTGTTTATCATTATTTATCATATTATTTTTTATACCACTTTTTGTCATATACTTTGGTACCTTACAGTCCTTAGTTCCTCATTTATTCCCCTGTGGTTTCTATTCATATAGCATACAGTATTTTGGGATGTGGTACTTACTGTTCATTCATGGGAAGTCAGGAACAGATTTTAATTTCTAAAGACAATGC